TTCTCTTTTACACATTGTAAGTTTATTTTTCTAACTTCTTATAATTTCTTACCTTATCATGTATTTTATTTTTTAAGGAAATACATAAAAGTATAAAGTATTTTTTTACGCTAATTTAAATAGTGATAATTCCCCCTCTATATAAAGTATTATCGAAGAAGAGATTTGAATGTAATGTAACTCGAAAATATATTCATTATATATGCACTTTTTTTATTATCTTATGTTAGTTTATTTTCATTGCATCAATGTCACTTTTATTAATTTTTTTTATCTCACTCCTCTATTTTCAACCCAGTTTACTGCAAAATGAGATGAACCAATATTACTACCTCTTCAGCAATTAGTTGTTCACGGTATGAAACAATTAGCAAAGTTAAACTGGACAGAAAGATTTGGGGGGGGGGGGACCTAAAAGCATTCCAGATTACGTCGCGCGGACATAGACACGAACATTCAGTGTGATATGATTTGTGAATATGACATGTTTTAGAAAATTAAGATTTGATCAAGACATTTTATATCACGTAAAATATAATCATATTTATCCATTTTGTTATTTTATTTTTCTTAATATAATTGACATTTATATTATCTTGTCATTATTATCAAATTATAACTTGTATTTAATCTCTTACAAAATTCATTGAAAAACATAATCGTAGTCAAATTTAAATAAAAGTGATATAATTCAAAGTTACGATAATAAATCTGTCTACAAAGAAAAGTACTTCAAAATTTAAAAATAAAACAGAAAAAAAAAATTGTGTAATAAAAATAAAATATTATTTTAATATACGAGTCTAAATTATAGCTTTCTTTATAGCTTTCTTCATGTACACATCTTCACCCTTCTAACTACTACTTAAATTACTTTACAAACTGTCCTCATTTCTTTATTTAACTACTTATTAATATATAATTTTTATTATTTCTTTTCTTCTTTTTTTTAAACAGAGGATTTTCCCAATCAGTATATATCATCAAAGTAGGTCCAGTTGCTAATTAAAGACATGACCCACATCTCATTCGTATTTTGAACTTGAGTTCAAATCTCACTCTTCATGTAGATTTTGTGGAGTATTTTTGGTTTGGTTTATAAAGTATATCTTCTACATAATGAATTGACTGCTATAGAAGTAAAGTGATATCTTCTGTCACGATTTTATACTCAAGTCAATAATCAAATTCTGATTTTTTTATTAAGGAGGACATGTGTCGAAACACTTGAATTAACACTTTTGGATTAATGGAGTATCTTAAACCCATCTCACCTAAACCTTTAATTAAAAAAAAATGAAACATATAATATGCATATTGAAGTATATTTAGGCCTGAGATTCCGAATATTTATAATAGTTACACATATTTATATATATACCTTCTGCTGAATGCAGATAGTTTCTGATACAAAACTAAGCTGAAGCCTGAAAGCTTGAGACACGATTCATGGATCTCTAAAAGCAATACATGAACGTCCGAACATACCAAGATGATGATGAAACACAACACAAACTACACATACAATGTTGACATTACATCGACTTGGTGGATGATGCGGTTGATATTTATATATATATATATCTACAGATGGTTGAGTTGGTTGATTAAGAGGAGAGGAGAACCGTGTTCTACACTAACCCCTCAGAACCCTTTATTCCATATTGAAGCATAAGCCACAGCAACACGTCATAGGTTGGAATTTTCTGCGAAGAGAAACACTCACATGTCACAACAGCATGCTCAGTCACCGTACATGTATGGAGCACACCTTGCCCACCTCAGCAATTTCCGGCAATGCCTCTTCTTGTTGCCTTTTACAGAAGAATGACCAAACTCTGATTCGCTTCTATTTAGCATCTCCCACATCACTTGAATGTCCTCATATTCGCATGCCCTCACGTCTTGTCGTAGATCCAGTAACCCTGCAAATTTCCCAAACACTGGTTTAAGTAACTTTCTAAGAAAACTGCTCGGAACTCTAACTCACTCTTTTTAACCACATACTGAGCCACTCTATTACAGCAAAAGTTAAGTTAAACAACCACCAAAAAATGTTTCCTACCATTGCTTGAAATTTATTAGAAATAACATTCTTTTTTTAATTTCATGCCTTATTCAAGGAATTTTTTTAATGATTTTGTAGGTTTTAATAAATTTTAATCTAGAAAAAATGTATTAAAAGGAGTGTGTCAGGGTATTGCTATCACTCCTCAATTGTACGTGTAATAGTTTGTGAACTCTAATCAACAAGATTTTATATTGCAGTCACAATTTTATCCCAATCTTTTTACATTGGGGAAACTCAATCAATCCGGCCTATGTAACCGTGAAGACCCCCAAAATGCTTAACATTGTGGCCTAAATTGCAGTAGTGAACATTTTCTAAAATGTTGCTAATTAATTTCACTCCAACCCTGTTTCCCCAATCTTAAAACTAAACCATATAAAAATGCTTAATCAAAATCTTCGGCATAAACAATCTCGATTATTGAAACACCACCAAGATTATTAAGGATAAAATGTGTCTTAGCTACGAGTTAAAATTGGTCCTAATATTTAAACTTTAAAAAACAATTATTTTCATCATTGAATTTTATCTAAGAGGAAGTACACTTGTGTAAATTAATAAAAAAAAATTAGTAAATTTCGTTCATCTTTACGAAGCTTAAAGTATAAAATCCACCAATTTTGACCTCCAAAGACACAGCCAAAACACATTTTACTCAATTATTAATCAACAGGGTCAGAGAGATTCTGGTTGCTGCAAGTTGCATCAACACATTCAAAAACCCTAACAACACTTCCCATAAAATAATTGGAAACAAGAAAGAAAGAAATCGACGTAAACAAATTAAAAATTTATAACGAGAGGACTATAGTTTAGCTTACCATTTTTGCGAACTCCAAGGCGCGTGGCGACGCCGAGCCAAGCCCTTCGAACGGGGTACATCATGCTCTGCCACCACTCCACTCGCCGAGAAATGTTCATCTCCTCCATCTTTCGCCGCGGAAACGCTATAATTGAAAGAAAAAAAGTGTGATTTCTGAAACCCTTTTAAACGAATAGAAAGAATGTGAATTGAGAATGAATGAGAGTGGCGGCATTTAATAAAGAAGAAAGAATTAGATAAGAAATGGGAACTACTAACTGTGAAGAGGGTGAGGTTGTTGGTTCCTCGGCAAAAGGGAGGGACAACTCAACGAGGGACGGTTGCGTTGTGAGGAACGGAACGAGGTTGTTGTTGTGTTCATAAACTCATGCTTCAACGGCTTGCAACCGACAGTGCCGTCGTGGCCGTGACACGTGTCCACCTCTTGATCGCGTGATGAGCTGTGAGGTGTCGCTCGGATTACGACGTGCACGTGCCTCTGTGTGTGGAGAGCAGCTATTGGTGGTTGCTTCCTATGCTTCGTACAGCCATGTGACTCTATTATTCGCGGTGGCCCCCACCTCCGAGATTTTTATGAGGGGAAGGAAGCACTAAAGCTAGATTTTACTTTGAATATTTTTTTATTAAAATTTAATTCTTGGACATGAATTTTTTAATTAATGCAACTTTTTTTTTTTAAGATTTGTGTTGTATATATTTTTGATATGTACGTTGAATTACTATTACTTTGTTGCATTTTATAAATAATATATTTTGATGCACTCATACTTGTAACGTAGCAAGTTATTTTAGAAGGCTCAAAAGTCTAGTATAGGTGATTCAGTAGCTTAGAATGAGTCGTTCCCAAACTGGAATGGGCCGTTCCAAACCACTGAATTGACCTATAAAATGTAGTTGAGAACAGGGTCGTTCTGGATGGAGTACGGGCCGTTCTAGATGGAGTACGGGGCATTTCAGAGGGAGTACGGGTCGTTCTGGATGGAGAACGGGCCGTTTTGGATGAATCCCAGAACGGGCCGTTCCGGATTCGGAACAGGCTGTTCTAGCCACTCCTGAACTTCTATAAATAGAGGTTGTGTGGTTGAGGAGAAAATGAGGTTTTTATAGAGAAGTTTTAGAGAGAAGGACTCTCGGTCTGTGAGCTCCTTTCTCTATCAAATTTCTTTGTATGATTCCTTTTCTCCTCTAGATCACTAATGCCTTCTATTTTTTCTTGAAATTCAGTTTAGGAAGCTTGCTTTGGAAGGATTGAAGTTTCGGGTTGAGCTTCAGAAGGAAATTCTACTTCTTCTCAGTTATTGACTATTTTGAGCCAATCTTCAGGTGAGGGAAGCTAGAATATAGGTTGTTTAATTTCAGGAGGGTTAGGGAAGCTTTATACTATTTATATTGTGTAAGTTGACATGATGGATGAATTTTAAATATATTGTATATTGCTGAAGTTGTTTATAAAGTTGTTAAGTTGCATTAAGTTGATATTGTAATGACATCCATCCCAGGTCTTCATTTTCACTGACGTTGACGATTTTGTCGTCCAGGCTAGGTGAGTGTAAGGTCTCCTGGATGATAGTTCGATGTTGTCCAGGCCTTTTGGTGCTGGCGAGCTTCGATAGGAGGTCAGCTTGGGTGTTTTGTTCTCGCGGCACATGTTGTATGGTGAACTCGTCGAAGGACGAGATCTGGTGGGATGCGATGTGGAAGTACCGTTGTAGAAGAGTGTCCTTTGCCTGGTATGTCCCACTGAGTTGTTCCACCATGAGCTTCGAGTCACTGTTGCAACTCACTCTTCGGGCTCCGAGGTCGCGGGCTAGCCTCAGTCCTGCGAGAAGTGCCTCATACTCTGCCTGGTTATTGGTCACCTTGAAGCTAAACTTGAGAGATTTCTCCAAAGTGACTTGGTTTGGCCCTTCCAAAATGATACCTGCACCACCACCTTTAGAGTTGAAGGACCCGTCAACGTGTAAAGTCCATACCTGGGGCTCCTCGACAGTAGTAGGCGTGAGCTCGACTACAAAGTCGGCCAGGCATTGAGCTTTCAGGGGTCTGCGACTTTCGTATTGGATATCGAACTCGGATAATTCTACTGACCACGCAATCATTCGTCCGGCGATCTAGGGCTTTCGCAGAATTTGCTTGATGGGGTAATCGGTTTTGACTACCACCTGGTGAGTCTGGAAGTACGGTCGGAGACGCCGAGCTGCGGTGACGAGTGCCAGTGCCAGCTTCTCGATCATTTGGTATCGCTTCTCCGCGTCTTGGGGGACCCGGCTGATGAAGTAGTTCGGTGTCTGCACTTTTTGGTGCTCTAGTACTATAACTGCGTTGATGGCGCTTTCTGCTACGGCCAAGTAGAGGAGGAGGTCGGTTTTGTGATCTGGCCTCTGTAGGACTGGCGGAGTCGGGAGGAAGGTTTTGAAGCTTCGAGAAGCTTCTTCGCATTGATCTGTCCACTGAAAGTCTTTTGGCTTTTGTAGCAGAGTGAAGATTGGCCCTGCCTTTTCTGCGAGTTTGGGGATGAAACGGGACAGCGAGACTAACCGTCCGGCTAGGCGTTAGACCTCTTTCATCGTTTGCGAACTTTGCATCTGGATGATGGCTTTACATTTCTCGGGGTTGGCCTCGATTCCTCGGCTAGTGATCATGAAACCGAGGAACTTGCCTCCCTGTACGCTGAAGACGCACTTTTTCGGGTTGAGGCGCATGTTGTGCTTCCTGATCTGGGCGAACACCTCGGCGAGGTCGGAAGCGTGATCTATAGCCGAGGTGGTCTTGACTACCATGTCGTCGACGTAGACCTCCATGTTCTGCCCGATCTGCTAGTGGAAAACCTTGTCCATCAGCCGCTGGTAGGTAGCTCCCGCGTTTTTGAGGCCAAAGGGCATCACCCGGTAGCAATAGTTGGCGTGGTCGGTAATAAAGGATGTATGGACCTCGTCGGGAAGGTACATCATTATCTGGTTGTACCCGGAGTAGGCGTCGAGGAAACTGAGGAGGGCGAGCCCTGACACTCCGTCGACCAGCCTGTCAATGCTCGGCAAAGGGTACGAGTCCTTGGGGCATGCTTTGTCCAAGTCAGTGTAGTCGACGCACATGCGCCACTTCCCCGAGCTCTTCTTCACCAGGACCACATTCGCCAACCATGTGGTGTATTTGACCTCACGGAGAAGCCAACGTTCAGCAATTTCTGTGTTTCGATGACGATGGCCTCCCGTCTTTCACCGCCGACCTTCCTCTTCCTCTGGGCCACTGGCCTTGCCTCCTTGTGTATCGCTAACCTGTGACAGATGAAGTCAGCGTCTATACCTGGCATGTCGGCACTGGACTAGGCGAAGAGGTCAGCATTTTGGAGAATCTCAGCTTCGAGCTGCTGTCGCAAATTCAGGCTCAATTGCCTGCTGATTTTTGTGCACTGCCTGGGTAGTTTCCCGATCTGGAGGTCGTCAAGCTCGTGAATGGGGCTTGACCTCTCGTAATGGGAGTCGGATCTCGGATCGAGATCGGTGATTTCCACGTGGGTGATGTGAGCCACGGTGGGGCGATCCTTCTTGCTTTGCTCGCCGGACGAGGATATCTTCAGACTCTCGGCGTAACACTGCCGAGCTGTCTTCTGATTTGCTTTGACGGAGATGATCTTACCGTCGCTTCCTGGGAACTTCATGGTGAGGTGTGGAGTGGACACTACTGCTCCAAGATTGATTCAACGTCGGCCTCCCAATGATGATGTTATAGGAGGTGTTGGCTTCCACCAGGAGATATCGGACCATAATTCTCCTTGTGTCCGGAGAGGTTCCGAAGGTGGTCAGCAGGTCCACGTATCCCCGAGTGTGTACTCGCTCTCCTGCAAAACCGACTAGGGGCTCTGTGTGAGGTTGGATGAGAGAGTGGGGGATATCTAACCTGAGGAAGGTCGGCCAATACAAGACATCTGCCGAGCTCCCCTGGTCTATTAGTATTTTGTGCACCTCCCAATTGGCTACCTCCACGGCTATGACCATGGGATCATCCTGGTTGGGACTGATGTCGGCATAGTCGTTGTCGGTGAAGGTGATTGGCGGTGAACTTTGGTGCGAAGCCGAGGTAACGGAGTGGACACTGTTGATATTGCGCAGGTGTCTCTTCCGGGCCAAGCTGGTGGCACCTCCCCCTGCGAAACCACCTGCAATTGTATTGATTACTCCCCGTAGGGGAGCTGATCCTGTTTCTTAGCTTACCTCGGCTTGCACTGCTCCGCCGGAATTTTGCTGAGAACCAGAGGGTTGGTCCGTGCGAGCTCCTGAACCGCGACCTCTGCCTCGTCCTCCACGGTGACCCTGCTGTCGCTGGACATATTAGCCGAGGTGGCTTGCCTGGATGAGCTCTTCAATACGGTCTCGGAGTGTGCGGCACTCCTCAGTGGTGTGACCGTGGTTCCTGTGGTACCGATAGTGTTTGGATTTGTCTGCACTTTTGGGGGTGTGACCTGGCAGTGGCAGGGTAAGCAGGTTGTTGTTACTGGCCTCCTCCAGGATATGTACTCGGGGCGTGTTCAGGGGAGTGTCGAAGTCATATCTCCCCCCTCTCTTCGCTCTAGCCAACTTCTTGAACTGGCTGTCATTATTGACTTTGACCTTGTCCTTGTGACCCTGTTCTGGCTTCATTAGTCCCTTTCCACGGATCTGATCACGGAATGCGGAGTGTTCCTCCATCTAGATGTAGCCCACAGCTCAGGCGCGGAGCTCGTCCATGTCGCGAGGAGCCTCACGACATAGGCTGTCGACGAATGGCCCGGGCTTGAGTGCCATGAGCATGGCATGCAGGGCGACCTCGAGATTCAAATTTTTTATCTTGACCGAGGTTGTGGCAAATCGCTCCATGAATGCCCGGAGTGGCTCGTCGTCGTTCGGTCTGAGACTGGCCAGGGCGGCTGAGGTGATGTGTTGAGGCCGGCTGGTTGCATACTGCGCCGTGTATCGCCTGACCAGAGTACTGAAGCTGTCGATTGACTCAGCGGGAACCTGGGTGTACCAGTTGAGCGCGGCCCCCTTCAGTGAGGTCGGAAAAACCCTACATAAAATAACATCATTGTTAGTGTAGAGGTTCACCTATGTCGTATACAGGTCGATGTGCTCATCGGGGTCCGTTGTGCCATCATAGCGATCGAGGTGGAGAGGCTTCCACCCTTGAGGCAGTAGTGTCTCCATGATGCCGTCCACAAAGGGATGACGGCGGAAGGTTGCTTGACCCCCTATGACATGAGTTGGGGCTTTGCTGACTTCATGGGCCGACTTGTTCGTCGGAACATGAGACTGATGCATGGCAGGTCGTGGAGTCGGTGCCCTAGTCGCATCGCTACTAGGTCGGTTTCGTGCTGGGCACGCATGTTTCGCAGATCGGCGTCGTGTTGCTGCCGCATCTGTTCGACCTGGTCGATCAGTCTCCTCAATGTGGCTTCGTTGTCCATGGTATTTGAGTGATCTGCATCGTCTGTTGCGCGTCTGCTATGGCTTCT